TGTCATTTCGGTAAATTGCGTCGTTAAAATTTGTTTAAATTTTAGGACGAGCAAGTCCCATTTTGTCGACTTTGGTCTTCTGCGTTATGACGTCGTGCAGTCTTCTAGGGTGTAACACCAGTCACAAGGTAACTCCGAGCTCTGCTGACCGTTGAATATACACGATTTGGGGGCCACCCGACCGTGGTATGAGAAGGGAGGGAAACCGACAAATTATAAGGCGTGTCTTGCCCTTCTTTCTTCCCATCACCTCTTATTGTGACGTACCCCAGGCTCACAGATATTCTGCGTACAGTATACCAACGTTTCGTAGGAACGTTTTGTGTTCATCTTCAGCACAGAAACGAAATTGGTAACCACCAACTAGTTCCACCGTCGTCGCAACCCAGAAGATCACAATCGACAAATTTAACACTGTCAGAACCTAAAATATCGGTAGTCCTTTTCTATTGGCCGTGCAAAAAACTTTCATGCCTTCTTAAAATATTCATTAGTTTCCTTCATGAAACACAGTCACTGAGAATCTGATAGTAATGAAGAAATTTTACAGAATCCAAAGGTTCATTACCGTCTGAACAAGACTCCGCTACTGACCTCCATCTTGAATCAGATGAATCCAGTTCACACAATTCCACTGTTTCTGAAAGAACCATTTTAACATTTTAAGCACATCTGAGCAGAGGACTTTAAAGTGATCTCTTTCCTTCGGGTTTTCCGTCAAAAAATGTGCATGCACTTCTCACCTCTTCAATCCTATCCCGCCCTTACATTCTACGAGATATTTGGTAAGGAGTACAAGTTATGAAGTTCCTCATTATGCAGTTTTCTCCAGCCTCTTGTTACTTCCTCTCTCTGGTCCAAATATTCTCCTGAGCATCCTGTTCTCAAACACCCTCAGTTTATGTTCTTCTCTGATAACGAGGGCGAAGTACCACAGCCATATAAAACAAACCGATAGTTATCTACATTTTATTTTCAATCTTTTGTTTTTAGATAGAAGTTTGAAATATAAAAAGTGTCTTAGCTGAACGGTAGCAAGTGTTTCCAGAAGTTTATCTGCCTTTCCTCATTCGTAAATGTGATTTTGATTTGTTGTTGTCGTTCCAAATATCTGAACTGTGGTACATTTTTGGAGCATTAATTACTTAACCTTTCTCTCGTATTATGATTTTGTCATGAATTCTGTTGACTGTATATGTATTTAGTTGTTTTCTTACAGGCCAACCGCCTTCTAGTGCGTAATAGTTATTTTTCTTTGTATTTTCTTAAAACGCAAGGAGTGTGAGTGTGTAAACTGATTCATCTGGTTCAGAGTAAGAACCAGCGCCGGGCTCTTGTGAACACAGTAACAAAACTTCGAGGTTTCACAAAAATCGAGGAATTTCTTTGTCAGCTGGGCGACTACTAGCACCTCATGACGGACTGTGTTCCACGTAAAAATGTTTTCGCCCAAGAAATTAACATAAATTCCTTCAGAATTTATTTGAAGTTCTCAATGGCGCAGGCCTATTTTAAAATGAAGTTGAAAGGCAGTTTATTGAAATATTATTTGCACGCTAATTTCTTATACTAATTTTAGATTTTATATATTACATATCGCGAGTACAGAGACTTTTAAACTATGCGGAGCGCAGAGTTCTAAAAAATTACTCTATATAGTTTTTGAATTTCTACAAATGGCGATACGTAATTATGTTCCGAAGATAAACTCCTAGCGAAAATTCTTGAACATTCTCTGTTCACTTCTGGCATTGCTACGGACACAATAATAGGGGATTATATGTTCCCTAGGTTGCTGGAAGTTCCCTTGTCGTCTTGCTCTCCGTCACTTCTTGTAGAATCAATACGGTGAGCGATCGACTAGAACGAGCGTAAGGTGGAGTTGCCTTCATCTTCTTGATGCTGCAAGGGACAGGAAGCCACTGGTCTGAAGTGGGCCCCCAAGTGTATATAAATACTTGTCATGCCAAAAACACTATTACATACCGTTACATGACGGTGGTTGTGCTGTTTCGCCCCTAAGTAAGTGTCCTAAAACGAGTGTCAAAATCATATTTCTAGCATATGCAGTTCGGGTATGTGTAAATCAAAGGTACTTATCAAATTCTAGTTGCTAAGGTGTGACTGGCCTTCGTGCAAAAAGGGGTAACTGCAAATTGACCAAAAATAATGTTTTTAGTTATTCAGGTAGTAAACGACCAGCCTGATTGCTTGGTGTTATAAAGGATAAATTCACGAACAGCCACTGAATTAGGATTTGAGTTTCGTAAAAAGCGGGAAATTTGCTCAGGACTCTGCTCTGTCGAGTTAGTATATATATATAGCGCTTTTTGGTTCGTATTTTTTTTCTGGCAGTACGTTATAAATGTTGAAAGCAGTTTGTGGTTATATCGAGCATAATTATATGATAAAAGGGTGCGCTGTGAGAAAACATTGAGTAAAAACAAACCTTATGAGACAAGAAGTGAAGCTAACAGATCGATAAAATACAAAGAAATGTTAATTTATCACAATTCAAATGACAGCCAAATGTTTGCTTTTGTGCACGTGGAACATAACCAGCTACATTAAAACTTCACACAAGGTCAGGTCTGAGGCTAGTTTAACCAGAGGGCCGAATAGTTGGGTTTCCCCCATCTTTTTACTTGAAGATGGAAGCAGAATCTAGCTTCCAAAATTTTGTAGTTTTATAATTTTATATATTAGACGAGGGGGGGAGGTCAAAAGAACAAATGTACATGTTCTAACTCCGTTGGTACATTTGTAGCCTTATCGTCATCAAACCAAAAGTTAAGTACAGATTACGCGCGGCCGCCATGTTGTAGTTTCATATTCTGCAAAAGAAATCTCAACAAAATTTGAATATTTTTCGTATATATTTTACAGCAAACAATTTTACGAACCTAAACTTATACGGTAGCAATGGTTCTAGCGTCACACTCACGTCTCACGTCCACATGGCAGCCATGTTGATATTATTGGTATTAATTGTAGCAAATAAAATTACTAACGTGGAGTAACCACTTCGGAAATGATGTTCGTACCAAATTTAGCGAAACTCCGTCATTTGTTTGAAAGTTTAGAGGGCAGACACACAGACAGTATGATCCCAAAATGGTCAAAGTACGCCAGTGAATTCTATATAACGATGCTGCAGTAAATTTACTGTTGTGAAAATGTTATGAAGCGTCTGATGTTGAGCGGTAAACACTGTTGAAATCGTACGTTGACATTGAGACCACGTAATAATGCAAGTGGGGAAATGGAGATACGAAGTAATGTTACAGAAATAGCTGAAATTCGAAAGAGAGCATTAGAAACGCAGATGTCGATTAACAATACAAGCAGAATGTAGGATGCTCTGTGAACGCCACGGTTTCGAAACGCAGAATCGAAATTTCATCCAGTAGTCGATTAATACTGTAGTTCAAAGAGAAATTAGGTAGCGGAGGTATGCTATCGTGAAACCTGCGAATGAGACAAATTGAAATTCAGAGGCTATTTAAAGTGTGATGAATGAGGAAGGAAATTCTATTCCAAGTCTGAATTTGATACTGCGTGTTCTATAAAGCGGGTCAGGAAACAGAAAATAGGAAAGAAGGCAACAAGATGGGTTGAATGGTAGATGGATTGGTTAGGGTGATAGAAATAAAAAGGACTGCGAACGGTTCTAAAAGTAAAAGAGAAGGGATTAAAATGGTGATAAATCGAGGAGTAGAAAGTACGTGTCTTTAAGTCCCATTTTCTGGAAGAGAACAAAAAACGCTGTGACGTAGAGAAAGCTCCAACACACAGAGAAAGTGAGAAATTATCCGAAGTGAGTAGGACAAAGAAAAGCAGAGGAAAGAGAAAGGGTACATGTGAATAAAAGATGAGGGCATCTCTGCAGAAGCATTGCTGAATGCAGTGCCGACGGAGAGTGACGGGGTGGGCGGGTGTCTTTACTTTAGAGGAAGGATCTCTTTCTTCCAAGAAGAGAAATATTTCGAGAACCGTAGAGTATACATACACCGTGGCAGGGATTTCGTAACGAAATGACAGTCTACATTTCACAATTTCCCATCCTCTACTTTAATTGAATTACAAGGAAAGTGACACCTTCGAATATGACAGACATTTTCAGCTCTGTTAAAATTGCGTTCGAAACAACCGAATAATCAAACTCACAATCTCGTCTAACATTAAAATCTACTTGTAACGAAAAAACACATGTAGCTTTATAATATCTGCTGTAATTATTTTATTTGTTCTTCAAGACTTGACAATACATGCACAATTTTATTCGGAAAACCTGAAGGGAAGTTATCACTGGGAACAGCTAGGAGTGGATAATATTAAAACGAATGTTGGATAACTAAGATGTGACTGGATTTATCTGGATTAGTTTTGGGTTCAACTGTGGGTTTTGTGAACAGCAATTATGTTCGTGTTCCATAAAGTTCGGGATACTTCTTGATTAACTGAGCGACTGTGTTCCATGGACTTATTTATTGCAAGAGTTGATTAGGGTGCTAATACAAGAGTTAGGGTGGAATAACAGCAAGTTGCTTGCTTGTTTTATTTGATAGGAAGATCAAATCAAGACGATGAGTTGAGCAAGGAAATGCAAAACCCATATGGAGATGAGAAATGCATATAAAATTTTAATTGGAGAGCCTATAAACCATTAATTAACATTTCAATAAATAATATGACATATTCAGCTGATGATAACACAGACGCAAGGTCTGCGTTTGAGGAACGACTTTGTTTTCTCATTTCATTTTATAAATATACACTAACTCATGCTGAAGGTCGCTCAAATGTGTCCATACACTAAACTATTCACAGCCTTCCATAATCTATTAAAGATACAAATGCCATCAAGTGAAAATCGATTACTTTTAGCGTCGAAGCTTGTTGAATTTATCCAGAATTAATGTATAGTAAAAAAAATGACGAAAATATATTTATTTAACCTCCACATAGAAACATAACGATAAGATATGTGAATAACTCACCATTATGAGATTACATAAGCTCTTGCTCTGGATAGTGTCAGTAACAACGAAGATGTCGGAGCTGGAAACAAACAACAAACGCAAATTAGAACTTCCAGTATAATTTATTTAGATAAAATGAAACATACAGGTTGATAGAAGGCTAAACTTTAGTCTGGAGACGTGAAATGTCGTTCTATTATGTTTCTCGGTATTATTGGCTGTCTTGTTCTGAAGAAGTCAGCATTTGCAGTTATAACATAACCACTGGGTTGACTGTTTAGAGTTACATATAGATTACCCCGTAATTGTGTGTCAAGAAGTATGTAGAGTTAAGGATATAGATCATTCTTGTTTCAGAAGTTTCGATTAAACAGTCCATAACGTTGAGTTCTACAGCAATAACAAACTGCAAACACGATAACCTTCTTGAAAAGCCAATTATTGCTCAAGTAGTCAAGAAGTTCCTCGTCTTTTAACAAAACCGAAGATTCACAGCTCATTTCGCAAGAATGCGCCACCTGTCCCTGTCCTGAGCTAGATTGATCAAGTTCGTACCGTCCAGCCCGGTTCAATATCCATTTTAATAGTATCCTTCCATCTACATTTACGTCTTCCAAATACCGCATTAACGGGTGTGTCTTCCCCTCTAACAATACATTAAAAAGCTCATGTTGGCAGAAATTCGTCTTTCAAGACAGCAGGGATTTTCCTTTTTGCCTCCTTAATCCCTCTCTGTACCACAATCTCCCTCCCCTACTGCCCAAATACTTTGCTTCAATTGTTCTGGAAGCCGACTTTCAAAAGACCTGTCATATTGAAAAGTGAGCAGCAATGCCACTGCTCATTCACTCCCTTATTAATGGCGAAGCTCCTCTTATTCGCATGGTGATGATGGCATCTGAACAAAGAGAACACTGAGAATAGACTCAGATTGCAGTCACTGAGAGCCATGGCCCAAAGAAGTCATCAAGTACCCTCCGTGATTGCTACCCAACGAACCCACTAAAATTATATGAAGGAACCTCTCCATCATTAGGTTATAAAATGCAATTTACACGTACTCCAAATTTAGTTTGAAAGCACAATTACAGTGTTCGGGATCAAACCGTTTCGCCTACGTCACTAGCTAGCGGGTAGAAGGAAAACAACGTATATACTACGTAAGCCAAAAACATTACCTATGACAGCAAGCTACAAAGCATTAACATTGGGAAATCCTGTTTATAGTTATGACAGTACATTCTTCCTGACCCTTCCTATCCCCTTGCCTCTTCCGGCGGATATGAACGCACGGTTTCGTCCCGATTATGCCAAAGACAATTTTAAAAATACTCCTGAAAAGAAGAACTTAAAAAGTCAGTCTTTAAATTATTTAATAAATTATTACAAAATCAATCTCTGTGGGTTTTACCCACAGAGATTGATTGATTAGTAATGCGTACTTTTCTGATTTATAATGTTCGAAAAGCCAAGTTGTGGCTTGCACAAGTTGATAAGGATACCACATTAATTAACATTCCTTAAAAATATAGATAAAGCTTTATCTGTCGCTTTTTCACATTGTCCTTTATCATTACATAGTTTCGTAAGACGTTTGCTTGCTTCTCTAAATTAAAATCGGGCGTCATTGCAGATAACCGGGTTACGAACCGTACGAACGACAGATCGGAAGTAGAAAGGTCGCGGTTACCACGCCCTAGGTGGAAAACCGAGCTCCTACTTTCAACAGCATCACTCACGACTTTATTGTTTTTCTCGATTTTTGGTCGTATTAAAGTAAGCAGATTTTAAAATAACTCTTTATTCTTACGTAAATAGTTTCGCAAATCTTGTAACTCCTTGGTCTCACGTTCTTTTCATAAATTAGCGACTGAACGCCTTTAATCTCAAGCAGTCATCTCTTCCCTTTTTTATTTGATTTAAATATTCACTCAAAGCAACTCAGAGTAATACCAAAACTGGTACAGGTAAATTGGGCACCGGCAGTATTCTCACAAACACTTTCTTGATACTATTTCAAGCCACGTGAAATTGCAATCAACAACTTGGCGCTAATGGGCCACTACATGTGACACACGTTGTAAGCATCATGTTGCACTGCTTGTACCGAAACGTGTTATCAATGTGTATGGGGCCGTCGGGTTTCCTTACCTCCGAATATAAAGCAGTGAAGGAAAAATAAAAATTGGTTCACATTTTTCATCCACGTTGTCAGCAACGCTTCACTGTGTGCTTTGCGGAATGATTTATTATGTTTCTCTTCACGAGAATGCACATTTCGAAATTCCATCAAGCATTACTTGTATTCTAGTAACGCCCGCTTTGAATATCGCCTCGGGACACTGGCTGGTCTGAGTTCGTATTTGCAACTCTGAACGTCACACTTTTTGCACTTTTCATCGGATTTGTTTCGTTCACATTTTGGATAAATCCAAGGTTCATTTATCATTGTGCTTAAACCACCGCTGCCGTCATCATCATCATCATCGTCGTCGTCGTCGTCTAGCAGTGAAGTGGTTGGGTCACGTATTGGCCTGTTCCGACACCAGTCGTCGAAAAGTCTCTATATATATCGTCTTCTGTTCCTTGATCCACGAGGTTTATAGTTTTAATAGTTAGGAAATCTGTCTCTTTTGCATCCAAATGCTTTTGTACATCAAGATTTTGCCAAAACATATTAAGGTCTTTAATTATATTAAATAAAGTCAACAGATGCCCATTAAAACTGAAATGTAAACACTAGTTCACTCGCAATCTCCTTGTCTCTTCTATTGGGTGACAGTAAACGACAATTTATACAACACGCGTATTGCAGTGTAACGGAGAAATGCATATAGAATGATACCTCCAGTCCATTGGGTACGGTGGACACTCTTCCTGGGGAGTAAAGTGGTTGGAACATAACTCTCGTCCACACAGTAGTGAGGCCAAGTTTGTGGAGAAACATTTCCTCGTACGTCCAGATGACGTGACGCTTAATTTAGCACAAGGATAATACTAGCTTTTGCTATAGTAACTGCAAACAGGACAAGTCAAATCTTAATCGAGTACGGTTAAAATATGTTAACAACCTTCTGTAACCTTCCCAAATACATGTAGAGGCGTATGTATGTACGTACTGACTTACAAATGAAATATTTCTGACAATAGAATTTTTTAAAATGCATCACGCCACTGCAAACCAGATTATCCGAATACAAAGTCATTCAATTTATGCTGTTAGCAGAACCAGAATTATGAAATTCAAATTCAGTCTCGTGGATTTAGATGTATTGTGGTGTGAAGTGGGTTCATGCGGGTGAGATGGGGCATGTAGCACTCATGGCAGGAATGAGAAATGCATACAACAATTAAGTCTCAAAACTTTACAGAAAAGACCACAAAGAAGAATTTGGTTTAAATGGGAGGATAATATTAAAATGTACCAGTCGCGGAAAATTAAAAATAAAGTAATTCAACATTAGGAAAGAGAAGAGTGTTTGGCGCTAAACATTCACTCCCACATACATCTTCATGGCATGTTGTTTAGTCAAAGCACAAGAGATATCTTTACCTTTAATATTTCTGAAGAATGAATAACAAATACAAATTACCTCGGTGTTCTTATTTCCCAGCGTGAATGAACCCACAGCTGATCAGCACTGATCAATTTGCCAACATGCTCATAATCCTGACAGCTGCTTCGCACGAATTTTACTTGTCCAAAGTTTATAGATCCACGACCTCCTTCAGCCGCGATCATTAGTGGATGAACAGTTATCTGTGCCGCAGAAGATGATGCTGTGTGCCATCCACTGATAAACTGAACATCAATCACTCAACGATGGCGAACCAAACTATGCTCTGTTCAAGATGTACATGGAGCAGAAGTAGTCAGACAGCAACAAAAACAGACAAGTGGCATGCATGGTACGCAATAATATGTCGGAGCTTTAATTTCAGCTCATTTAAGCTCATTGCGACAAAGCTCACAGTGGTATGGCGAGAGGCGAAGTACAGGGTCTGAACTGCGTACAAGGATCCTTCCTCAGTTTTAGACCAATAGCAAGTATTACATCGCTCCTTGGCCAGTGTATTTTTATACGTGTTCCATTCATGTCCTGAACAGACAGTAGTGTCTTGCGCATGCATAAAGAATTCTAATGCGCAACACAGAATGAAACACATCATCCCAGAGCTTCTTAAAATTGAATACTAAGTGTCAACATCTCTAATGCCGTAATAAAGTGGTAGACTGTCATATGTTTAGACTTCTGTTCCAATAAACACTAGGTGATAAGGATGTTTCTTAGCCTTAAAGACTTTGAATCCCGCGGCAGATAAGCTGGACTTGTATGCGTTGTTGCTTATCTCGGTTCCCACTTTTGATGACAGAAATACTGTCTGCATTGGAACATCTGTTTCTTTTTATAATCGTATTTCATCCAGCAGCAGCTGCAGACAAAATATGTTATTGCTCTTTCAAGAGTTCGGAAACCTTCCATAATAGTCATGTGTGGTGCTGGTGATTTAGGGGTGATCATTCTATGAGGTGTCAGCGTTGGTCGTCAAGAGTTCTAATGCCATGTGGACGTGCACTGCCTCCATCTTCGGAATTGGCCTGGAGATGGTAGTAGAATGTATCCAAAACGTTTAGCATGTATCTACAAATCTATACTGCGTTGCAACTCAAAAGACAAACACTAACATTTTCACCGCCGCGAGACCCTCAAATCTCACTCCGGTGAGGTTTCATGCACCCAGTTTTAAATGTTCGCATTTCCATCGCAGTATACACTAAAAGTAGTCTTAATTAAGGTTGAATTTTTGATCCATTATCTAGTATTAACACATAGATATTAAACGCATCTTAAGACTCGAAGTAAACACTTGGCCGTAGAGAAAGTATTACGATTATGATGATGACTGTCTTAAGAGATGTACGGCATGTTTAGAATGTGTCAAAAGCGCAAGTTTAACAAAGACAGACCCTGCTATATTTTTACGTTTGATCAGCCGGAATTCGAAGTAATTTCTCTGCAGGTTTAAGCTACGATGTGGCTGTTTTGGAAACCCCAACAGTCGTATAAATGACAAGTA